CCCAGAAGTCAGGGTTGCCAACCTCCAGGTGGGACCTGGAAATCTCTTACTATTACATTTGATCTCCAGATGACCGAGATCAGTTCCCCCGGAGAAAATGGCTGCTTTGGAGGGTGGACTCTATGGCACTGAACCCCACCCTCACCAGACCCCACCCCCCAAATCTTCCGGTATTTTCCCACCCTGAGCTGGCAGCCCTACCAGAAGTGTACCTGTAATTTTCACATGAATAGACCCTGATTAAACATTTCACCTTTATTCAGGGCTGGGGAGTCTCCTATGCTCTCTGCTATATTGAAGGCTACCTGTACCCTAAAACCCAGCCTGGTGTGGTCTCAGCTGCCTGCTGGAGATCCTGTGTCTCTCCCCTTGATTGTGCAGGTAGAGAACAAGACAGGGGGGGGGCAAGCTCCGAAGGACCTCCTGTTCCAATATAAACGTGTCTGCCCTTTGAGATCCTCTTCATATACCCCTGACTTTAGAGGCAGGCAGCAACTGGAGATAAGATCTTTTCTGTGGTTCCTCCTTCATGAGGGATTCCCTTCCCGGGGACATTAATTTGGCATCAGCCTGACTGACTTTTTAGGTGATTTGGTAAAACAATGGTGTTATTCTTTTATTGAACGGCACCTACTTACTGCCATTGCTAATGCTTCAGCAGCTATTTCAGTCTTGCGATTTTATGGTTCAGTAATTGATCTTATCTGAGAGTAATTGATCTTCGAGTTTTATTTGTCTGTTAGCCACCTCAAAAAAGTTTTAAGCAGAAAGCCTGGCCGTAAATCCCCTAAATGGCTGGGTGAGTTACGCCTTGCTGTCTGACACAGAAATGTTCAATTTGGGTCCTCCAGTATGTTATCTGGTGCTTTCGCAAAGTTTCGGTTTTTTTAAGTGTAAACACTGTGTTAGACAGGGCTTTTTTACTGGGCTTAAGAGTAGCAGCAGCAGCAGCAGCGGTATCTGTGGAACTTATAAAGAAATATTTATTTCATTTATACCCCACCTTTCTCCCAGTGGGGACCCAAAGCAGTTTACATCCTTCTCTCCTCCACTTTATCCACACAACAGCCTTGTGAGGTAGGTTAGTGTTATGTATTGAGACTAAGCCATTCCTCAAGCTGTACCAGAAACGGGTTGGGCTTGCTACTTTAGAACAATAGTGCGCCAGGATCCTGGAGTAAACCAATAGATAAGTAGTGTGATGTAAATAGCCTATCACTGGGAGTGGGTATGTGTTTGGTATGGTGTTTGCATGCTTTATAAGCAGGGCTCAAGCCCGGCTATTTGTCCTTGTAATTTGCCGAAATCACTTAATAAACTAGAGCTGATCTCTGCAATGCATCCAGAACCCAGTATTTAACAGTTAGGCTGAGAGTGAGTGACTGGCCCAAGTTCATCTAGCAAGCTTCCATAGCAGAGTGTGCATTCGAACCTGGCCCTCCCAGATCTTAGTCTGATAGAGGAAGAAGAAGAGGAGGAAGAGATTGGATTTATACCCCGCCCTTCACTTGGAGTCTCAGAGTGGCTTACAAACTCCTTTCCCTTCCCCTCCCCACAACAGACACCCTGTGAGGTGGGTGGGGCTGAGAGAACTCTGACACAAACTGCTCTTTTTCAAGGACAGCTGTGCCAGAGCTTGTGACTGACCCAAGGTCACATCAGCAGGTGCAAGTGGAGCAGTGGGGAATCAAGCCCGGTTCTCCCAGATTAGAGTCCGCACACTTAACCACTACACCAAACTGATACTCTAACCACTAGTAGAAACCAAGAGTAGACTGGGAATTTAGACCAGACTGAGAGCAAGCCAAACGGGGTGCCCCCCCTTCAGCACGGGCAGCCAGTTATCGCTGGAGCCCCTCAGCTCAGACTCAGCCCGCAGAACCAACCGTGGGTCTGGCTCACCCATCACCCGCATCTGCTCTTCCACCTAGGGTTGCCCACTCCGGTTTGGGAACTCTTGTTGATTTGGAGTCTTGGGAGGGTGGGCTTTGGGGAGGAAGAAGGACTCAGCAAGGTACAGTGCCATAGAGGCCACTGTCTAAAGCAGCCATTTTCTCCAGGGGAACTGATCTCCATAGTCTGGAGATCAGCTGTAATTCCACAAGAACGCCACCCCCGCACACGCACACACACCTGGAGGTTGGCCATCCTGAAGCGAGCACCCAGTGGCCAAGCGGATAGAGGCAATAGGCGAGCTGACACAGATCACCACTGCAGGTATGCCTCATTAACGCATTCTTGTCGCACAGGCTGAACACATGGGAAACTTCCTTCTGCTGACACGGAACCCTTGGTCCGTCAAGGTCAGTATTGCCTGCTGTGACTGCCCGAGCCTCTTCAGGGTCTCTGGGAGCAACCTGACCGTTTTAAACGAGAAATGCCAGGGGACTGAACCTGGGAGGTTCTTCATGCAAAGCAGGCGCTCTGCCACTGTGCCACGGATGAAACTTTTTCTTGGCACCGAGATAAGCCGAAGGGAGAGCTTCACCTACTTAATGCCATTGCTTCAGTGTGGTTTCAAAGGCACAGGCATGGTAAAAAAAATAAAGAATAAAATGGGCAGCCCATAGTTTTCATTCTGCTGCGATTTCTCTTTGGACCTCTGAAAAACTATTCCATGGGAGTGCACCAGCTGATGTCATTCTTGACCAGTACGGTCTCATCCTCCAGCAGAAGATGAAGCAGAAGTCCTGGAAGGGTGGTAGCTGGAGTTAGATGGGACACAGGGGCAAATTCCTGGGAGGCTGAATTTCAGCTCAGAGGCTGGGCCAGCGGCAAGCCATGGTCGGTCTATACGACCATCCTGATGGGGATGGCTGGAATAAGGATGCAGGCCAAAGGTCAAGTAAAAGGATGAGAAAGCTGGTAGAACTGAGAAAGGACTAGGTCAGTAGAAAGACAGAGGGGAGCAGAAACTCTTGGAGCAAGACTAAGGACCAGCAGCAGCAAGGCCTGATCCAGAAGCATATATAACCAGGCCAGGAGGACCCAATGGGTGCATCAGGGTTAGGGAGCCATGCTGGGACCTCAGAGGACAATACTGCCCCTTCTTCTACTCCCAGGCCTGGTCAACAGACCTGGAAGCTTCCATGTCAAGTTCTGGCTGGAACAGCCATATTCATTAGCAGATGTTGCTGGATGCTACTGACACGTAGTCAGAGGACACAGGGATATATGTACGCCACCACTGAATAGGATTCTAGGCTGTGAACTGTTAAGAAGAGCCCTGTAGGATTAGACCGTGGGCTCATATGTTACTGTTGCCAACCTCCAGATAGCACCTGGAGGTCTCCCGCTATTACAATGGATCCCCAGACAACCAAGATCATTTCTCCTGGAGGAAATGGCTGCTTGGGAGGATTGTTTCTATGGCATTATAACCTGCTGAAGTTCCTCCCCACCCCAAACCCTGCCCTCCCCTAGCACCCCGCCCCCCAAAGTCTCCAGGTGTTTCCCAACCCAGCACTGGCAACCCTACTGGAAAAAAGGGGCTTGCTCCTCGGACTGATTAGTAGACTGCAGATACTTAGATAGACCTTAGGTCAGACTGGACTAGCAGATACCTGATGCGTACATAGGCTTGTGTTAAGTTGCATGTTTAGCAAAGGCTTATGGGGCTTGCTTTTGAAAGAGCCACCATGACAGTAAGAGGTGGTATAAAACTGGACTGGGCTAGCTGAAAGTACAAGAAGGGTCGATTGATTGAGAAGCACTGAAGGTAGTGCTCTCTGAAGGGCAAAGCTTATTTTACAAGTTTTCAATCCAAAAAGGAAAGAGAAGACAGGGCTGAAATTGCTATCTGGAAAGACTTGAACAGTCCTCCCTGGAAGAGCTACAATAGATGGGAAGAGCTGAAGGGCAGGAGTTGCTGACAGCTGAACTCTTCATTGACTGCACTGAAATCAGCATCCCGGTACAGAGCTACCCCGCTTCATCTTGCCAGGAGGAAAGGGAACTGCTCCTCGGGCAATGGACAAGCTTGAAGACTCATCCAGCATCTTCATAGGAAGAGTTGCTGCTGTTGCAAGAAGACCTTTTTGAGGTCCCGGACTCTGCTCCAGGCTTAGTTTCCGGAAGAACACACAGAGCAGCCCCTGCCTTCTGCAAAGTGGATTGGGAGTAGAACGCTGCTCTGAGACAAGAGTGAACTAGTATTGATATCTTTGGGAATGTTTTTCACAGTTGCTTTCTGTTGTATTTAAACGAATTGAATTTACATTTTGAGTTTATGGACATTACCCTAGACTTTGAACCTGGCCCTTGAGACTCAAGGGGGTACATACATACCAGCGCCCAGTTTCTGACAGATGCTAACCAGATGAGATAGGAGGCCCACAAGAAAGCAAGAAATCTACAAGCCCCCTCCCGTTACCGTCTCAGCAACTCAAATTGTGGCATACTGCCTCTGAACATGGAGGTTTCAGTTAGCCATTGTGGCTAACGGGTCGTCTGTGGATGAATCTCTCCTCTATGACTTTGTGTAATTCTCTTTTAAATCTGGCTAGGCTAATGGCCATCGCTACAAACTGGCAGCAAATTCAGCGTTAATTATACTGTATGTGAAGAAATGCTGTCTTTGATCTGCCCTGTTATCTATTGCCAATCAATTTCATTGTGTGACCTCAGCTTCTAGTATTATAAGGGAGGGAGAAAAGTTTTCTCAGTACACATTCTCCATACCATGCATAATGTTATAAAGCTCTTTTATTTTGCAAGCTTTTCTACTATTAATGAGTAAGGAATCAGCAACTGTGTCTGACACAAATTGCAACAGAAATGTATGATCAGAAGAATGTCTGGAATCCAAAGCCACAATCACACATGACACCTGGGGGAAACCAAAGAAAATATGGAGACTTTTTTATTTCCAGGATTACCTCAAACACCTTGCATACGAACAGACCTTGTTCCTCTGCTGAAACGTCACTTGTTGAGACAAACTTCAACTGTAACCTATTATTTCAGGTCTTTTTGATAAATAACATCATTTAAATCCATCTCTATTTCTTAGTCTTCTTCGTGTTCAGTTTACAGATAGAAAGAATGGCGTGTTGAAACTTATCTACCAGCACCACATAAAATATTAAGTTACCAAAAGTATTTAACGAAGCCAAGGATTTAGTCACAGTGAAAACATCCCGGATCTGCTTCTCGATCTTGCAGCTGACTGGATGGATCTTTAGCTCAATGCGAAGGCCTCTGAAGATGTGGAATGGCAAGAAGCACAAATAGAAGACGGCCAGGAGGACGATAGCCAGCCTGCGAGCCTTTTGCTTGACTGAAGTTTGAGTGTGGGGCCCTCTGGCCAGCTTGTAGATAATCACCGCATAACAAAGAGTCACAAGCACTAAAGGCAAAAAGAAAGCGAATGTTGTCAGGAGCCAGTTGAACAACCGTACAGAGTCCAGGTCTTCCGAATTAGTCAGGTCCAAGCAAAGGGATCTGTTCTCTCTTTCTTTTACAACGATGAAGCGGATCATCGGGCTAACCATGAACAGAGAAACGATCCAGACTGAAGCACAGGCTATGACGGCCCATCTCCGTTTCTGAATGGAGAAGCAGTTCATCGGGTAGACGATGACAAAAAAACGGAAGAGGCTGAAGCACGTCAGGAAGAGGATGCTGCTATAGGTGTTGAAGTAGAAGGTGAAGCGGATGAACGTGCACATGAAGCCCCCAAAGACCCAGTGCTCTCCGTTGATCGAGTAATGTATCAAGAACGGAAGGCAGGACACGTACAGCAAGTCTGTGATGGCCAAGTTCAACATAATGATCGTGCTGCTTTTCCAGGGCCTCATTTTGAAGATATAGATGGAAATGACAATGATGTTCCCCGGGAAGCATACCAGAAAGAGAATGCAATAAATTATGGGGATATAGAACTTCTCAAATGAGAGGCTCTCATCCGAGCAGTTCCTGAAAGCAGTCATCTGGTTTCGCAAAGAGGAGAAGTTGACCAGGCCTTCAGACCTCATATCCATGGCTGCCTCATTTAATTCTTCAGGAAGAAAACAAAAAGAGGTAATTTTTAAGATGCAGTTGCAATCAAAGCCTCTTGTTATGACTGAAGAAATGAAGTACAGGTGACTGTCAGGTTCCAGCATATGCAAGCCTAGCAGAACTGGGGCTGGGAAGAGACAGAAGCGCGCTGTAGAACTTTTGCTGTGTGATGTAGAGAAACAGTGAGAAAATGTAGACCTCTGTTATGGGAAGGCAATGCAGATGTAATGTATTCTTTAAGAGCAGGAGGAGGAGATTGGATTTATCTCCTGCCCTTCACTCGGAGTCTCAGAGCGGTTATAGGCCGCGATCATATGCACAATTAGACCCGACATAGGTGCGAATGCTGGGCGGATTTAAAGGGCGCAATTAGACAACAACATCTGGGAAGCACCCTACAGCTGTCAGCAACCCACTCTGCTCCGCCACAGAAGCAGAGTTAAAAGACACCGGGGGAAATCCAGTAGTAAATGGGTTGTGACGGGCCATAGGCGGACTTTCCCATGTCTGATTGCTCCAGCACGCCCTCATGCCGTTGGGATGGTCTGATCAGGCCATTCCCAACTCCATGCCGTTTCATCATTTAGAGACAGCTTTTCTGTTTTGGTATTAGAGTTGTTGGATAATACTTCTTTGGTGATGTTTATGAAGCTTATTCCTCACTGAATTTTAATTCTGGTCTCTTTCCCACAGTGTGCTATTGAGAAGAGGAGAGATTTGGGGAGAACAGGGCCAGCCCCAGCTTATTTTGCACCCTAGGCAAGGATCCCTTCTGGCGCCCCCCGTGCGCCACCCTCTCCCCCCGTGCATTGCCCCCCCATGCTGGTTAGGGCTGCCGCCCTCCCTCGGGTACTGCTGCTGCCACCGGCCAGAGGATTTCCGCACTGACTGACCCACTTTGCCCAGCTGCTGCCTCGCCCAGCGCCTTTCCCGGCTCCTTCCGGCAGGGCCTCCCACAGGCTGGCAGGTCACAGGAATGGGCCACACTGGGTAGGGGGGCTTTTGGCGGGGGGGCGGGTGCAGTTTGGCGCCCCTAAGGGCTGGCCCACTCTAGGCGAACGCCTAGGGGAAGATATACTGTTGGTGTAGTCATATGCAACAGAAAACATATGTATCTTTAATAATGTCAGAGGAGAAGGACCTTTGCCAGAAAGAATCTTAAATTTGGACAAACCACAGACATTGCTCTAAGGTGCAGACGGACACATTTTGTGCAGTAGGGAAAAAATTGTGATGGAAGAATGCAGTTTTTGAGCTGTCGGGTATATGTGATTGAATAAGGGGTCGGTTTTCCCCCAACAACAAATAGATGAGGAAAAGCAGGGGTGGCCTTAGCCAATGGGCAACAAGGGCAGCTGCCCTGGGCCATGTGCTGGGGGGGGCTGCCTATAGCCCCACCCCTTTAAAGGAGGTGGGAGGGAAGGCATCTGCCACCACTTGCACCTGCCCATTTGGGGCTTGGGCACCTGGCTCCTGGAGGAAGGGGCGGCAGTTGCCCGTATCATCTCACTGTCCCATTGAAATCCCCTCTGTTATGCAAGGACTGTCTAATTTCCCCCTGCCCTCCCTCCAAGGAGCTCAGGATGGCATACCCGGTTCTCCCTTCCCCACTTTATTCTCACAATGACCCTGTGAGGTCAGTGACGCTGAGAGGGAGTGGCTGGCCTGAGGTCATCCAGTAAGCATTATGGCCAAAAGGGGGATTTGAACCCAGGGCTCCTAGCTCCTACTTAAATACTGGAATTGCAACACTATACTTCACTACACTGACTCTCAGACATGGTTGGCTCCTGCCATTATATGCACCCTAGTGGGATTGAGCCTGGAAGAATTCATTTCAGAACCCAGATTACTCGTGGATTTAAGGTTTATCACCTTTTGTTACTTTTCCTTTTCTTGGCATGCAAAATGGTCAGAAAAAGCTTTTGCCTGCTAACAGCGTGCACACCAGGTTGCTATTAAAGGTGCAAGTGCAGGGGCAATAAAACTTTACACAACTTCATGTAACCCCCCCCCCGGAAGTCCTTGGCTCTCAGATTTAGTTCTCCATCTGGGAAACAGGAATAAACTCCTGCAAGATTTTTGCAGGGATGAATGAGCAAGCAAAAGGCTCTTAGCCCCTTTGAGCTATTATGACTGAATTTGTCCAGTTCTAATAAACTATGCCGGCTGCAATCCTCGGCACATTTATTTGGGATCAAGGCCCCCTGAGCTCAGCTGAGCTTCTTTCTACATAAATAGGTTTAGAATTGCAGTGCCGATACCAGGGCGTGATTCTGAAATCAATATTAATTCTGAAATAAACATTTATTTCACTCCTCAAACTGTCAGTACCCGATACAGATTTCACATTTAGACTGGACTATAATATCCTCTTAGAGGTCTACAGATTTTCTAAAATGAAATAGAATAAGCTTTGTGGTTTATTTGCCATTTTTAATCTCTGCTTTAATCAATTTCTAAGATTAAAAATTCACAATTGATCTGCTGACAGATCAATTACAATTTGCCAAAGCCTTTCTCAGAAACCACGAAGTGTCACAACACAGGACACAGCAAAGACAAGACAGAACAATACGATACCTTTCTTTTAAAAGCACACACAACTACTATCAAATCTGAAATATTCTGCCAACATTATGGCACTCGCTAGCTATTGAATTGTTGCTGTTTCATGTTGTTATTCCAGTTCCCTTTTAAAAGTCTTTTCAGTCCAATTGCTTCCATTTACCATAATGTAAAAGCTACCGTATAAAAACGAAAGTTTTTCAAGTTGTGTTGAGTCAAAGTATACGATTTCTGTGAAAAACAAAAGTCTAATTTTCCTCCTGTTTTGTTGCCCCCTGCGGTGCACTGCAAGTTAAAAATCTGGGGGAAGATCACCGCCCATATCTCAGAATTGTTCCCTCTTTACAGTATCAGATACCAGATAGCAGGTCACACTCTCACATCATAAATGTCCAAAATTAGACAGAGGAAGAAGTCCGGTTACCTGGGAATTCAGTATAAACTTGCTTCTCTGTTCCATTGTCTTGGCAATGTATGATGAACCTCCCCAAATGTGCAATCCATATAGCCTAATAACTTTGGTTGAGTGCAGCCCCTCTATGGCTGTGGCTACAGGTATTATATAGCATTCCAGACTCATGTAAATTGAGAGCTCGCCAAAGAGGCGTGTGAGTGAGTTGCCAAGCTTTATAGATCAGCTGCCAGGCCTGCCTTCTTTTGCACGGTCTTCCTTCTCACTGTTTGCATCCAGTCTGCAAAAGCAGGAACTGGCAATCATTCTCTGATAAGCGGCTATTTGCACATTGCAAAGAGCGGCTCAATAGCTAATGGATTCAGATCTGACCTTTATTGTCATTAATACTGATACAATGCGATCAGTGTGGATGGAGCTTTACAGAATAATATATGCTAAAATCCTTACTCCAAGCTGCTTACAGTCTAGGAAGCAAACCCTTCCACATGCCCAGGCTGTCTGTATTCAATTTGCTGAATGGGTGGGGAAGAACGCAGAGGTAGGTATTGCAGAATAACAAAATGAGAGCTGGAAAACCAGAAGGGAGCAAGGAATGGATGTGAGCAGACGTGGTTAGGTTTCCTTCGGCTTTATTTTGGTTGGGGCCAATACTCCCTCTAAGCTGTGGAGTCTTGTGAGCTGCTGGCATTAAAGTTGTGAGCGAGTGATTTGTCTACTGCATAAATTAGTTTGCTCTGGAGACCTCCTTCCCGAGCTAAGACAAAGATGTGTGAGCTGGAGGCTTAAAAACTGTGAGCTAGCTCACACTAACTCCGCTTAGAGGGAACACTAATCGTGGGACACATGGGTGAGCGGGTGGGAAGGGGGCTTCTGGGAACTCTCTGCTCAGCAGCACCCCCAAATCTGGAACTGACCCTGCTCAGAACAGTGACTCATACAGACACACAGGAAACGGGGTGCAGAAGAGAGTGGGGAAGATGACTGGAGACCAAGCCCTACAGGGAAAGGCTGAGGGACTTGGGAATGTTCAGTCTGGAGAAGAGAAGGTTGAGGGAGGACATGATTGCTCTTTTTTAAGTGTGTGAAAGGCTGTTAGAGGAGGCCGCAGGGAGCTGTTCCTGTTGGCAGTAGTAGTTCAGCAGTGGAATTACCTCCTTGTGAAAGTGGTAAGCTCCCCCTCACTGGTAGTCTTCTTCAAGTAGTGGCTTGTCAGGGATGTTTTAGGACAATCCTGCATTGAGCAGGGGGTTGGACTAGATGCATTCTGCATTCTAGCCTTCAGTTGCTCCAAGAATGAGATCATTTCATGTAATAGAGAAGAGGCAGTTCTCCTGGGGTCATGCTGTTCTGGCCATTAAGTAGACTAGCTTGTATTAAGCCTGGAGTGGTGTGCACTTTGTCCCCTGTTTGTGTCTGCACACCCCATTGCGTCCTTTAAAATTATTGACTTTAGAATGTATTGCCTGCTTTTTGCACCATGCGCTCAGCAGCATCTGTTCAAGGAGTGATCTGTCCGAGGAATGATATTGCAAGATTAGCGAGGTTCGTGGGCAAACAGAGATGCCCAAGTCACAAATCTCAGATTAATGCTTTCCTTTTTAACTATGTGTCTTAAAAATCAGAGGTGCCACCAGCAGATGGGGGGAGGGTTGTTAGGGGGGCGGCAGCTGCTGCTGCAAGAAAACCGTCAAATCACGCAGGAAAACAGTGCAGCTGTGCAAACTGGATGCATCCAGGAGGCCTCCAAACATTTGGCTTCTCCATTCACGACAGGCTGACAGGCCGTGAGCTGAACCGTTGGGCATTTCAGCATAATTAATTATATTATGAGAGGATTTTTTTAAAAAGTTAAATGACACTTTGGTTCGGAGAGAAAAATGACAGTTGTTATTTTAAACTCCCTGATTAAATAAAACATACGCTCAGAAGTGACTGTCGTTTTCAGAGACAGTTTATCAGTACAAATGTATCACCCTTCGTCCTGATTAATTCACATCC